ATATATATATATATATATATATATATATATATACATACATACATAATATACATATCATCTCTATCATTTTTACTGTTGTTTTGTTAAGATTGCGCGGGGAACCCAGATGTTATGAGACCCAGAACGAGGCAGACACAGGGGAAGTACAAAAGAACAGTGTTTATTATGTACAGTGATATATTAAAGTCCACACGCTGCTTCTCAGCGGCTCCTGGAAAGAGGGACGACAGGTTAATGTTTGTCCAACGGGGAAGACCAGAGTGGTTTGTTTAAAAAGCGTCTTGTCCTTACAGTCCAAACCCGAAGGAGGTGAGCTGGTCCTTCAGTCCAGGGAGAGAGCAGCAGAGGGAAATCCAACAAGAGTCCAAAGGGAAACGAGGAAGGCTGGCAACTGGAGGCAAAGAGGCACGAGGGATACCTGACAGGCCGAGGGATCCAGGTCAGGCCACGAGGAGAATCCAAAAACACGAAGGAACCAGGAAACTGGAAAAAAGAGCAAAAGGTGAACAAATTCTTTTCACCTAGACATTTCTAGCTCAACAGTACTATACCATGAGAGGTGATATGCTCCAGCATTGAATCACATCGGACTGCAGCCTTAAGTAGATGGAGAGGCTCATCAGGCTGATGGTCGCCAGGTGTTGGTAATCAGCGGCCATCAGCAAGGCAGGCTGCAGGCAGTGGGACCCTTACAGTAACCCCCCCTCAAGAATCGCCTCCTGGCGACCTGAGGCGCTTCTCGGGGTGGTCTGAGAAGAACCTGGAGATGAGACTGGGATCGAGGATGAAGGACCTGGGGATCCATGACCTCTCCTCAGGACCGTACCCCTCCCAATCGACCAGGTATTGGAAACCCCTACCCCTGAGTCGCACGTCCAAGATGGAACGGACAGTGAACGCAGGGTGGTTGTTGATCAGGCGGGGCGGCGGAGGGAGGTCAGACGGGGGACACAAAGGACTGAGGGAAACAGGCTTTACCTGTGAGACATGGAAGGTGGGGTGAATCCTCATGGCCCTGGGGAGTTGGAGGCGGACCGCAGCAGGATTTATGATACGGGTGATGGGGAAGGGACCAATAAAGCTGGGGGCCAGTTTGTGGGGGCTGTCCCGCAGCTTGATGTCCCTAGTGGACAACCAAACCTGCTGGCTGACTTGGTAGGCGGGCGTCTCTGAACGGTGGCGGTTAGCGAACCGTTTAGCCTGGGCTGCGGTCCTAAGGAGGGCCGCCTTGCCCTGGCGCCAGATGCGACGGCAACGTCGAAAATGATGCTGGACGGATGGGTCCGAACAGTCAGACTCAGACTCGGGGAACAGGGGAGGAAGGTAGCCGAGGGAGGCCTCAAAAGGGGACATGCTGGTGGCAGAGGAGCGGAGGGAGTTGTGGGTGTACTCAACCCAGACCAAGTGCCGGCTCCAAGAGGAAGGGTTCGACTCGACCAGGCAACGCAGGGTGGACTCCAACTCCTGATTGCAGCACTCAGCTTGTCCGTTAGCCTGAGGATGGTAACCAGAGGTGAGGCTAACGGACGCCCCGAGCGACTTGCAAAAGGAGTGCCAGACCTGCGAAATGAACTGCGGACCTCGGTCAGAGACGACGTCCGAGGGGATACCATGGAGCCGAAACACATGGAGGGTGAGTAGATGGGCAGTTTCAATGGCAGAGGGGAGCTTAGGGAGGGGGACAAAATGAGCGGCCTTCGAAAAACGGTCAACTACTGTGAGGATGGTGGTGTTGCCGTCAGATGGGGGAAGACCGGTCACAAAGTCGAGGGCGATGTAGGACCATGGGCAACTAGGGGTCGGGAGAGGGAGCAGGGGCCCAGCCGGAGGTTGAGTTCCCGACTTGTTCCTGGCACAGACAGGGCAAGCGGAAACGAAGTCCTTGACATCCTTGGTCATGGAGGGCCACCAGAAATGGGTCTTGGTGAGTGAAAGCATGCGGTTGACTCCAGGATGACAAGGAAGTTTGTTGGAATGGAACCACTGGAGCACCTGGGACCGCACGCTGGAGGGAACGAAGAGAGTGCCGGGGGGACCACCACCTGGATCAGGTTCGGAGAGGAGGGCCTGTTGGACGGTGGCAGTGATGGGCCAAGAGAGGGAGCCAACGATACAAGAGGAAGGAATAATAGGGTTAGAGACCTCGGGCGAATCAGGAGGAGCGAACTGCCTGGACAGGGCATCAGGCTTAATGTTTTTGGAGCCCGGGCGAAAAGTCAGGACAAAATTAAATCGATTAAAGAAAAGCGACCAACGGGCCTGACGGGGGGTCAGACGCTTGGCGTTTCTCAGGTAAATTAGATTTTTATGATCTGTCCAAATCAAAAAAGGGGTCTCAGTGCCTTCTAACCAGTGCCGCCATTCCTCTAATGCGAGCTTGACTGCCAACAGCTCACGGTTGCCCACGTCGTAGTTGCGTTCTGCTTGGGAGAGACGCCGAGAGAAAAAGGCGCAGGGATGGACCTTATTGTCCAGAGGAGATCGCTGGGAAAGGACCGCCCCTACCCCAGTGTTAGAGGCGTCCACCTCCAAGATGAACTGGTGCGTAGGGTCTGGATGGCAAAGGATGGGCGCGGAGGAAAAGAGAGACTTGAGTCTCGTAAAGGCTGTCTCAGCCTCTGGGGTCCAATGAAAGGCACGGGCAGTTGAAGTGAGATGAGACAGGGGGGCGGCGACACGGCTGTAATTTTTAATAAATCGTCGATAGAAATTTGCAAAGCCCAGGAAGCGTTGTAACTGCTTCCTGGACTCGGGGGTCGGCCAGTCGACAACCGCCCTGGTTTTCTCGGGATCGTTTCGGCAACGACCTCCCTCAAAAATGAAACCTAAAAACGAGACAGTGGAGGTGTTAAACTCACACTTCTCTGCTTTGACAAATAACTGGTTCTCCAGCAGCCGCTGGAGGACCGTGCGAACGTGGGCCGTGTGTTGAGAGGGGTCGCGGGAATAAATAAGGATGTCATCGAGGTACACAAACACAAAATTACCAATGAAATCGCGCAAGACGTCATTAACGAGCGCCTGAAAAACAGCGGGGGCATTGGTCAACCCAAAAGGCATAACTAAGTACTCGAAATGGCCCAAGGGGGTGCGAAAAGCTGTTTTCCACTCGTCGCCCTCTTTAATACGGACGAGGTGGTACGCGTTTCGTAGATCGAGTTTGGAAAAACAAGAGGCCGACTGTAACTGTTCTTGTAAAGAATCAATGAGAGGAAGAGGATATTTATTTTTAATAGTTATATTGTTTAAACCGCGATAGTCAATACATGGCCGGAGTGATTTATCTTATTTGGAAACGAAGAAAAAGCCAGCTCCCACAGGGGAGGTCGAAGGTCTTATAATGCCAGAGGCAAGAGACTCGTTAATATAATTGGACATAGATTCCCTTTCAGGACCAGAAAGGTTGTAAAGTCTACTTGACGGCAAGGGGG